TTTTTTTTTCCTTAGGTGGTTAGGCTCACGATGGACAATGAGCTTTCAAAAAGGAAAAAAATGGAAATCACCAACTATGCTGCCAACTGAATAAGAGTTTCTTTGTAACATGTACTGAGTTGAGAAGATTGTATTCCTGCATTGTATAATCTACCAACAACCTACTTAACTACTGTTTTAATCTTGGTTATTCTAAAAGCAGAGCCTGAGACTTAGGTAGACACATTCTATTTGGAAGTCTGATTCTAGGGAGCAGGAATGAGAAACGGGAGTGAACAGGGGGAAAGGAAAAGAAAATCCAAGCAAAACAGGATAGTGTTCTCAAGTGGTCCACCACTGTCAGTGGATACTTAATGCAGAACCTATTCAAGATTTTTATTAAGCTTTGTCTCAGAACTGTCTGCCTGAGGGAGAAAGGGGAGACGCATTTATCTGTCAGCAGCCATTTCCTGTGTGTTGAGGGCTGCTCCTATGTGACAGGAAGCTCGATTCTCGGTACATGCCTGAAGTGAGGCATTGTCAGCACACAGCAGGGTATACCTTCCCAGACCTGTTCACCAGAGCTGGGGCTGGAATCAGAGGTTGAAAAGATGTGAGGCAGTACACGAGGCATCTTACAAGCCCACATAATACGCCATTATACTTATCTAAATCTATTTCCTCACTTTTTCTATAGTCAAAATTTCGATGTCTAGAACAAGATTGACAGAAGGTTTAAATAGGAAGGCTGTATGTATTAGAAGGTGTGTGTTAGTAACAGTTATATATTATAAACATAAACTTGAGCCATACTTATAAGAGAAAGTGACATTGGAACTTAGAAAACTAAAAACTGATTCTACTTTAAAACTTTGATGACTGATAGAGATATTGGATATCTTTTAATCTCATGTAATCTCAGAAATACTTGTGAATTGTTTAGAGAAAAAGGGAGAAATAAAATTAATTTCTTGTGTTTCTGAGCTTTAAAAGTCAAATGTGATTAACTTCTAAGGTATTTTATATGTCAAACAGTACTAGTGGTACAGAGTTTACAAACAAAGAAGGGAAAACTGGCAGAAATACAGGGAAAAAAGTAATGGGATAATGTCCATTACATAAAGTGTTGACATTAATATTGGCCAGAGTCGGGGGAGGAAGCTGCGTGATTTAACTTGGCATTCCTCCACGAGCCTTCATCTGACCAGAAATAGCAATGTCATCATCATCCTCTCTTATTTAGTTTGGAATTGCCACCAACAGGATAAAACCTTTGAGCTATTCAACTCAATATATGTTATGCCTGTACTATGTGCTATGTATTGGCACTATACATATGAATGAGACAGTTCCAAACATCCAAAAACTTCAGAATACATATTCTTTTAAGGTGCACCCAGAACATTTTCCAAAACTGACCATATGCTGGATCACAAATCAAGTCTCAACAAATTTCAAAAGACTGAAATCTTATAGATTATGAGTTAAACCAGAAATCAGTTATGTAAAAGTAACAAAAAAAATTCCAAATGCTTGTAGTTTAAAGAACATACTCCTAGTGGCCAATAAGTCAAAAAAAGTGAAAAAATATTTTGAAATGAATTCTAATGAAAATACAACATATCAAGGCTTGTGGGATGCTTGGAAAGCAAATGCTTAGGGGAAATTTATAGGTCTAAGGACATATATGAGTATTAGGAATTTTACAAAGAAGTTGGCTATCGATGTTTCAAGAAGCTGTGAAAAAAAGTTGTTT